ATAATGGGAATTAAAGCATGAATACAGTGATAATATTTATATTGGTTGATCATTATTACAGACTGTAATACATTTTGCATTGGAATAAACGAAAGACTGGATTGTAATTTCTGTACCCAAATCAAACACACTTTATGAAATAAACTATAAATACAATAAGAAAACACTAAATTGATATAAATGTCGATTTTGTATGTTTTCCGCAATTCCAGAACTAAAACTAAAATATAACACTRAACATACTCCAAGTCACTCGTACAGTGCGAGAATATAGTTTTGATCCGAACTAAAAATACGTTTTCATACTTTTTATCGCACAAGAAAAYCCCCAATGACTTCTCTGAMTGGCCTTCAGCGACCTTCACTAACTGATTGGTTAGATTTTCACATAGSTTTCAGTCAGTAAGTAATYTGTCCCTGATTGGCTAATTCTTCGGGAGTAAGATCACGTATTTTGGCAATRGCGCTTGATGATGTAACAATATGTCTCTGTATGTAGTCTCTGTATCCAAGGGACCCACTGAACTTCGTTCCAGGATTTTGAGGCAGCGCTTCGGTAGATTTCCACTCTCTTTGTAAAAGTGTCTTTTGTAAACCAGCTAATCCCGAGGTAAGSCTTTTACGCTCGTATAACGYTGCATCACTGAGTTTCCCATGGATTTTGTTGATGGGTTTCTGATGTGATGTAGAACTTTCATACGTTTGTGGTTCTTGCGTTATAGGAGTGAAATGTGATTGGGTGGCTAACAAGCATGCAGATTGAGGCCTGGGAGGTAGTATRATAGGAGTTGGATCAGTCTCATGAGTCATGTCATTCACMGCTTTCATGATCTCATCCAGCCGATTTCCCAGAAGATTCAGTGGAGGCTGAGAGTCGGCCGACCTCTTGCGACTCTTTTCTTCTCGTTCTTTCATTTCTTGTAACATTTTTCCTGTGAAGTCAGTTGTTTTACGCAAGAAATCTTGATGGTCGATAGAAGACATTGCCATTTTATTCATTTGTTGTTTTATCTCTTGATTGTCAGCTCGTATGTCTTCTAATTCCTTCATGGCTTTTTCAAGTTGTTTCTTGAAATCTACTTCTTCGTCCAGGCTAGTGTCATGGTGCTCACAACACGTGGTGTTGTTTGTCAATTCCGTATCATCAATAGACTCTCCATCATTAGACTCGTCTGATTGAGATTCATGCTTTTCAGTCTTCTCGATACACACCTGAACTTCCGGCTTACCACCGTCTGTGCAATCAGTGGCACAGGGAMCCCGATCGGCTGAGTCGAATCTAGAAATGGCGCCGGTTTTCTTGAGGTCGTATAAACGCTCCAAGTCATTTGAAAGTCTTTCATTCAGTGCCTGGACTACTGACATATTTTTCTTGACATCAGACAACTCTTGCTGGATTTTGCGAAATTCTTCAACAAAATCTTCTTTTTGACCATTTTCTACARCATCGTTTTCTCCAGGATGCTCATTTGTTTCAWAGTCTTTCTGCTCGGTTTCTCTATCATCAGGTTGTGGGTTTTCCTCATCGGGTATCGTGTTGTTGCTGTCATTCTTCAGGACCCCTGTTACTGCAAAGCAAGACATTTTGGCGTATGGCAAAGGCGGTWCATTGGACGATTGATCTTCAGATCTCGTTGAATCTTCTCTTTCTAATGCAATCAATTTCTCTTGTAGCGTTTCATTATGTACTTGTAATTCCTCGATTCTGTTCTGCAAGGATGGGATCTTCTCGTTTATCTCATCTTTCTCTTCTARAGCCCTTTCTTTGTCGCGTATTGCCTTAGCTAGCTTGAAAGTTAACGCACACACTTGTTGGTATTTCAATGTCTTTAATTCCGTATATCGCACGTGTTCATTGTCCAGATTTTCTCTTAGAGACCTGACCTCTTCTTGTAAATAATCCCGTTCATTGATCAATAATGTTATGTCTGGTAACATCGAAGTGGGATCCAGATTTCCTGGCTTATCGTGCTCGTCCTGGTCTTTATTCATTAACTGGAARTAAATTAGTTAACTAAAGTCAAATAAATATACTACAAAAAAGCTGAAAGAGGGGCTCATGTACAACGTGCGAAAGATCGATATCAAAAGAACAATAGTTTCAAAAATTCTACTCAAGACATATCGTAATAATATCATTTAGAAAGAACTCGGATATATAGASGATATTACATGGGCGCGCGGAGATACGGATTTTATCTTCGAGTTTTGTGATAATTATCRGTATTATAAAATGCATTACTACTTCTGTAGGTTTGCGGGCAATGTGATTTCATCTGCAGGCACTCCGGTCTCAGCTGATCTTAGACAACTCTTTTCGACTGTTATTATTGGAAAGTTTAACCAATCACCATGCTCGTTTAGCATTGTAAGAGAACTTACCTTTGATCTACTAGTCTTTTTACTCATCTTTCTAAACATAGTAGAAGCTTTCGTTTCAACTTTAATTTGATGATATCTGAAAGAGTGTATTTAATGTTTATTAAAACAACTCTCTTTCTAACAGTGATACTTTTCAACAAARCCAATATCATTAATAACGTGCACAGTTTGCATATTTACATCAGTAGCTACTTGCGAAATGGCAGCAATAGGCTAGCAATGCTTAAACCAAGCAAACTAATGCTTTACCATTTTTTATGAGACAATATTTGTTTACTGTCCTCTTGAAATGATTTGAAGACGCGTGSTCTTAGCTTTGAAACCATGGCAACCGAACGAGATAAAACTACGAACTCRAAAAAAGTAGAAAATACAAACAAACAAGCATCTTTAAACTTAATATCATGACTCTCAAAAGCTTAGAATATAATTTCCTGACTTCATGATGCGTGAGAACTACTTACCAAACAATATGAATTACTATTGAAGAGTGCTATGTACGCTAACTACAGCAATCAAGCATGTTCAGTTTTGTCTAATGTCATATTATTGACTATCAAACTTGCAGTACTGTCTGTCAAACGTACTCATAAAACTTGTTTTTCGCTGATGAAATTGCTGCAGCTGATGTATATAAACTTATTGCTCAAATGAAATGGTCAAAAGAACGCAAAGGTCTTTGCAGCAGGCAGTTATTGAATAGTGGTGTTTGCGCGATAATCCTTTGATCTCTTTGTCATTGTTATTGTTTGAATTCTCTTTGTTCGCTTCATTTATTTGTTATATGCAAATAAAAACTTGGAGTTTGGTTTTAACATCAATGCGACCTTTCTTTTGTAAGAATTCAACTAAGCATGGTTTAATCATACAATAGAACGTATTCGCATAACCCACTTTTTAAATGCTAATGAGTTTTGCTAATATTCTAATGAGATTGACACAAGAAACAAAAGAGCAAAACAT